TCCACATCAGCAGAGTTTATCTCATTTTTTCAACATGTCTAGTCTAGGTAGGCTAATAGTAGAGGTGGCATTTTTATCGAGCATCCAAACTCGAATTAAAATATTCATATCAATTGGCTCGGTCCGCTTTTAGTTAAAATAATCCAATTTAAGACATAGCAAATAGAATTAAAATCTAAGTTTTTATTATGGTCAAATTCAATAATTAATTTTAATTACATGAGCTATTTTATTTTCCATTTGATTATGATTTTTCAAGTCAAAAATAAATTTTTTAATCGTTATTTAACATGATCAGCCATCATCTTTTACTTTTTCACTCGTAAGTAGGGTCCACTTTTCTTTCTAGCAATCAAAAAATTGATTCTAAGAATCAGTAACAAACAAGCCCTAATAAGATCATTTGTTCTAGCTACATAACAAAATTTGATGCTGTATCAAATATATTTCTTTCACTCTTGCAATTACATCACAATTATATAAATTTAATATATTCAGAATAATTTAGAGTTTATCATTTAAAATAAGGATAATTGCAGCAGAAGCTCAAAACTTGTGAAATATTAGCAAATATTTTCCAAACCTTTAATTTGTTACAGCCGTCACTTCTAACCAATTCAAACGTTGCATATGAGGCCTTTTTGGATGGTTTCCATCAAAAATTCCGTTAATTGACCATCAAACTAAATTTTGACTACCTTTTAATCAATTTTAAAAATGCAAAATAGTAATTTTCTATTTACCACATTAAACAATTAAAAAACTAAAACCAAAAAAAAAAATGAAAATAGAAATGGATCTTCTTCTTCTCACCCCACCCCACCCCACGCCTCAATCTGAAACCATTCCTATAGGAATGGAAAATAGGATTACAATATTAGAATCTAAAACCATTGCTGCAGGAATGGAAGAAGGAGCAGCTCTATATCCCAGGGGCACTAGATTGCTTCATTCACCTTCTCATTCTTTCCAAACGCCGCAACATATTCTTCTCCTCCTGCTTTTAATTCTCGAAAATAGTCGGGTCGTCAAAACTGGTTTTGGTCCAAACCCAATCCACCCACAATTAAAACTGGAATTCAGGTTCAGTCAAATTCCTCACAATCAAAGTCCATGGGCATTACTGAGAGCTTCAAGAGGTGTGTGAGAGATTCCAGTGTTCTTTGGCAAGGTTTAGGAACTACAGTTGCCAGAACCTTCATTGTTGCCTCTACTGCATATGCAACAGCACTAAAGTGACTAGTTAATGACAATAAATCGTGCAGCAATTCAAATAGGTAATAAATTCTAGAGTACCATGCTACTTGGAATTTCATTCATGCATCAATGGTTTCAGTTGAAGGGGGATAGAGTGGGAGGGAAGAAGAAGATCCATTTCTATTTTCCTCAAATTTTTTTTCTTTTTTTTTTATACTTTAGTTTTTTAATTGTTTAATGTAGTGAATAGAAAATTACCATTTTGTCCTTCTAAAATTGATTAAAAAGTGGTCAAATTTTAGTTTGATGATCAACTACGAAATTTTTTACGGAAACCATTCAAAAGGACCTCACATGCTACATTTGGAAAGGTTAGGGGTGACGATTCCAACAAATGAAATGTTTGAAAAAAGTCTGCTAATATTTCAAAGGTTTTGGGCTTCTGCTGCAATTATCCCTTTAAAATACAAGGGGGCGTTCTCTTTGCGTTTCTATTTTCTATTTTCAGTTTTGAAATCATTTTTCATTTTCTGTTTTGAGGCCTCATTTTTAGATTATGAAAAACACATTTGATTTGTCATTCTGAAAAACAATTTCTCAAAACGAAAAATTAGAAAACGTGTTTGGTTCAAAAACTTTTGAAAACTCCCATTCCGGTTCTCTCTTACACTCTCAATACCGCCACCTCCAAAACACCACTTTCCGGCCACCATGGCCACTGGAACATAGCACCAACTTGAAGCCCACAATGTCATCTACACACCCGACCCAATAGCTGACCCTAACTCCGACCGAACAGGCTAGAATTTCTGCTCAAAAGAGGCCGGTCGCAAGACATTAGAACGGTCGAAAACTCCAATTCCGGTGACGATTTCTGCATGAATTGATGAAATTAAAGTGTTACCCATAGTTGTAGGGACATACTTAATACTCGACTGATGCCAATCACCAGAAACACGAATCGAAGCAAGTAGGTTTGGTTCACGACTGCCATGTTTGATTGATTTACATTAGAACGAATTGGTGCATTATTGGTTGATGTTAGGATATCATATTCATCGCCTGGATGAGGGCTATCGAGTGTTGGTGATGCACAACCGTGGGCGTCACCGGAGGTGGATATTCCGGCGGAAAAGGGATTGCAACATTCGTTTTTGGGCTGGATTTCTGTTGCTTCGTGTGATTTGTGGCTAGTGGTTGGTTGGAGATTGTAGAGTGGAAGGAGGCGAGGCTGATGGTGGTTGCATCCGATGGTTTGGCAGCCGAAAGGTGGTGGTTTGGCGGCCGGAAAAGTGAGTAGAAGGAGAGAGCCGAGAGAGGAATGGTGAAGAGAAAATGTCGCGTTTTAAGTGTTTTCCATGTTTTGGCTATTTTCAACTGAAAACGCTCAAAATGCCAAAAAGTCGTTTTTGGTTTTCTTTGTTAAATTTTCCCTTGTTTTCAAAATGTGTTTTCAAAAATAGTCGACCAAACGCGTTTTCGGTTTTTTAGAAAATGGAAAAAGGAAATGGCCTAAAAACGTCAAAGAGAACGCACCCTAATATTTTAAAGTGAAATAAAAAAAATAGTGATTCTATTTTCGTAATTCTCAATCATGTCCGATTCTCAAGATATCGGACCAAATCACCCGAGGAACACACTAACCAATGGCATCAATTCTGAAGCATTGTTTCGTATCTAAGATCGATGGGTCAAGATAATAAAAGACGAGCAATGATCAACTAATAGATTATAGACTTCAAAATATATGAAAATTAAAATTAAATATTTAGTTGAAAGAGCAATCCCTCGAGGCAGAAGTGTTTGATCAAGAAATAAAACAGTTGCAGTAACACTCCGAAACTTTATAGAATAAAATATGTGGCCTATACGTAAGTTTACAATGTTTTTGGGTCTATTAATATATTTTTCAGAAAGTTCAGGGGCCTAAGTAATGATGGACAATAAAATCTCACTTTTGAAGATTAGAAATTTAAAATTTTACTAATTCAAAGATTATGGAGCTCAACCATAATTTTCCTATAATATTATTATTACAAATATGAAAGGAATAGTTCTTCAAATATGTTTGGCTCATATTTATAAACACTCAACTCTCAAGTGACTTTTCAACCATATGTTCTATAAAATATAACTTTATTTTCACTTTTCAACTACATTTTCTTAAAATAAATCATTTTTACTTCAAAAAATTCTTTATCAACAAGCTTTTGGAAGTGAACAACTAGGAATTCGAGTTGCGACGGACTCTTAAGCAACTCAGCCCTCAATTGTCAACCATTAAAAATTTAAATTGTTTGTTATAGAATCATTTTTCACCACACATTCACATAATAAAATATTTTGCACATAAATCAATAAAATTTCTTTACATTTTAATCACATATTTTTCAAAAAATATTATTCAATAACTCATTATTCCCAATTAAATTCTAGGAAAAATTACCTAGAAACCTACATTTAAAGACTAATTTTCAAAAATAA